GGAGGGTGTTAAAAGAGGGCCATGACAGATCAATGTCCAGCTATGCTGCAGTATTCAACATGAATCAGTGTAATAGCCAGAGATGTTACACGGTTTTCTCCCTGTTTTCATCACAAGTGTGATGCAACACATTTTGGTTAATCTGACTCCGTCTGGGTCCGGCTGCTGACAGGGAAGCTCACCCCTGACCCAGAAGTGTGGTTTAAACAAAAATAGACTAAACCCCCCCCTCCAACACACACGCACACACGCACACACACACATTTTACAGACATACTAGACAAATTCTGCTCTTGGCCTCAAGCCTGCAGTCTAATCAAAAAGTGCTAGAGAGGCTCTGCATCAGCTCCACACACGGGGAGCTACACATAATGAGTGATGACAGGGTTGTAACTCACTCTAATATGTTAATAATCTACTCTGCTGTAAACAAACAGGGTTTCACTTCCGCTTTGAATGTCATCATATTAAGAGCAAAACACTTAAATCAGAATAATCTTTCCTGTCTGTCTCTCAGATGCCTATCCTGTGTCAGAAGTCGTCTACACTTGGACTGAGGGAGCTAAAGAATCTGTGGTGGTGGCAGAGGATGGCTCCAGACTCAATCAGTATCATCTTGTTGGACAAAGTGCTAACACAGAGGATATACACACAAGCAGGGGTATGTGCTATTTCAATAACTCTGTAGTAATAATATTAACAGCAGTGTGCTTGTATTGCTAGTAGCAAAGTATTAAGAATGGATGGATTAGTGAAATAAGTTGTGGCAGAGATAAAAGTAATACACTTAATCCCAAATGATGGAATATTTTGTGATATTAGGGAAAAAAAATAGAGATTAGGTAACACAGCAATATAAGAACTGGAGCCCCAGTAGACAGTTACTGTATAGGATACATAGTACAATAAAAACAAAAATAGGATGACTTAACTATTACCGTTGAACACAAATACAAGCTGTCAACAGGACAAACACTACACCACTCATTAATAAGGATAGAAATATTCAATAATTTTCTAATTATTAACACACACAACAAATCCAATACTGCCTACTTGATCATGCTACAAATTACAGGAGTTTTGTAAAGCTTAGTTTAACCAATAGTTTAGTTTAACTTAGTTTAGCCCATTTGTGTAGGCATGTAAGGATACTTACATATGTTGCTGGTGTTAATGCAGTTTAGCTACGCAACAAGCTAGCAGTTACTGTTTCTAACTCAAGTACTGGTTATTAGTGGAAGATTGTATTCATATAAACATAGTATTACAACATTGTCTACATGTCCACACTTAATATGGGAACTTTATTTCTTCATCATAACTGTGGTGATACAATGGCAAGCTAATGTTAGCTTCATCGCTTCAGCTAGCATCACAACAAAACTGTAAATATTCAGTGGCATCAAAACTGTACCTATGAACTAGGTTGTTTTGAACAACCTATAAAATGTATCTTTTGGCAGGAAAATGGAAAAATAAGTAGAGTGATTTACTGAAATATTAGCAAACATAAATGAAAATACAGAATAAGGCAAAAACAGAGTATGCATAAAACAACAAGTTGAAAATGTCAAATATTTGGTATGAGCGCCTTTATTCTTCAACATAGCCTGAACTATTTTAAGCTAGCTTTCTTTATGTAGTCTTCAGGAATAGGTCTCTTGAAGAACATTCAAAGCTTATCTTTGGATGTTGGCTGTTTTTGGTTTGTTGTCTGTCATGATGACGCCACTCTGCTTAATGTTAAGATAGGGGCTCTGGGGAGGCCAATCCATCACCGATCATGTTCCATTGTGTGTTTATTAAAGCTGTTGCCAATCAGATGTTTTTTAAATGTATTGTTTGGTCGATGAAAATCTGACAATACTTTGCTGCGCTCATCATTCTATCATTGAGAAGATCCCCAATATCACTTGCTTGCTTTGGAGCAAGTGGCTGCTTTTTGTTTAGGCTTTTTTGTCCGGTGTGTTTTATCGATGACTGTAGGCACTTACACTTACACTATTATGTTGATTACACATAATAATGACAAGTTCAACTGAAACCTTTAAATTTGCTTGGATTCATCACAACATAAGACACGTTGAAATAATTTTGGGTCCAGTTTTTGTAAAGTTTGGCCCTTCTTTTCCTCAAAAATGGCTTGAGGCTATCCTTGACACTGGCAAACAGCAAATGGGCCAATTTCCATGTTGATTCTGTGAGGACATTAAGATGGTATTCATGTCCTGTTCATCTTCTTTTGTCCTACACTTGTCTAGTTTCCTTAAAACACAGTGTACGAGTGTACGTGATGTAACATTTGGCATTTTCAAACACTTTGTGTTTGAAAAGCATCTTTTTACAAAGAGCCCAAACATATCATTTAAAATGAGTTCATTGATGACCCATCTGTTTCTATTTGTGTTAGTTGTTTTTTATTTATCGGAATTCACTCTTCGTCCATAAACCTCAACTACTGTACAAAAACAATTAAACCCATATGATGTTATAAACTACTTGTACCATCTGTTATTTAAGTAATAATTCTGAGTTAGCTCTTTTTTACAGGTGTAGAGACCTTTGTCAGCATATTTGTTTACCATCAGAGTAGATTTAATGAAACAGATGCAACTGAAATGCCGACGTTTAGCTTTAATTTAAGGATTCGGACAAAAATATTGCATCAGCTGTATTTATATACAAACTGCCCTATTTTCTGGAGCTAAAATATTATTGGGGAGTTGACTCTGGCTTATTTCTCTATTTTTTCACAAGTTAAGCAGGTTAAAGGTCCAGAGATGATTCCAAGTGTGGCATTTGCATTTGGAAGTTGTTTCTGTGAACTGAAGCAAAGGTTGAAGGACCTCTTAAGGCAAAGAGAATATTCTATCCTTAGACTGGAAAACAAACATATCTGAAAGGGAGCAGAAACTTGTCAAATCAGCAGTTCGGCTCTTGCTGAGAAAAAAAGAAAGCATTGGAGAGCTCGTCAACAGAAACAGGTCCTTAAATCCATAAAAGACAAAAGTGGTGGATGTTGGCAAGATCATTTCCACGGGAAAGACAAAAAAACCCCCACAGGATGCACCAAGTGTGGAAGTCACTGCATTGATTGCAAGATGCAAAACATTTATGTTTAGCTAGCCACGCTAGCTTGCTGGACAGATGAAAATACAGCAGAGCTGGGAAGAAACAAAAGGAAAAAAGATCTAAAATGACTCATAATCTGAATAAAGTAGAGACAATTTGATGCAGGGGTACGCATAGCTTCCTATGACACTAGGTCACAGGTGTTTGTTGGTGATTTGACAAAACAAAAGTGTACTGAGCAGTGTTTGTACACACTGAGCGACTTGCAGTCAAGTTAACTGGATGTCATCTCAGCGAACAGATGAACAATGAGCCAGACCATGCTGACAAAAGTAACCCAGGAGATTTTGAAAAATATAAAAAAAAGGTGGACTATTGTCCAGGCAGCAACTAAACACTGCTACAGTAAAAGCCTCGGCGGGAAACCTTTTCTCTGCTGATTGGCCACGGATTCCAGACTTCAGGAAGTCATCATCAAAGGATCACTGACAAAGTTTAAAAAAGATTTTATTACGATTATATTAAATTATTGCACTACATTTAATTCTCTAAAAAAGGGACGGTACATAAGAATGTAATTAGTTCATTATGTAGGGGCGATCGTGGCTCAAGAGTTGGGAGTTCGCCTTGTAATCGGAAGGTTGCCGGTTCGAGCCCCGGCTTGGACAGTCTCGGTCGTTGTGTCCTTGGGCAAGACACTTCACCCGTTGCCTACTGGTGGTGGTCAGAGGGCCCGGTGGCGCCAGTGTCCGGCAGCCTCGCCTCTGTCAGTGCGCCCCAGGGTGGCTGTGGCTACATTGTAGCTTGCCATCACCAGTGTGTGAATGTGTGTGTGAATGGGTGGATGACAGGTTCTGTAAAGCGCTTTGGGGTCCTTAGGGACTAGAAAAGCGCTATACAAATACAGGCCATTTACCATTACCATTAGTCAAATCTATATTTTTTCTTAACCCCTTAACATCTGGATTTAAGAGGTTAAATTCAACTTTGGGTTAATTTACCTTTGATTGTTCAACTTCAAATATGTTGTGTTGTGTACAAACATTATGAAAACTGTGCCACTGTACAAAACTTTTTTTAAGTTATAAAATTTTGTAAAAATTGTTAATTATTTATTATTTTCATTAAATAAAGAAACCTCAATCAGAACATAGTGCAAGCATTGCATTGTGTATTTTTCATTAGCACTGAGGTGAATTATGTTGCACGGTACGAATTAGTTAAGGTGATGTAACTAATTCTAGATTAGGGAAGATAAACACTGTAGGGAGAAATGGATGTGCTGCGAGGTGGAGAGGAAATGTGGGAAACATTATCAGTAGTTAAGAGTCAATGAGTGGAGGCTAGAACAGAGTAGCCTATCCCTCTCACAACCAGCTGTCTACAGGCTCGGACAGCCCTGTCAAACAACACTTATCCCTGCACACACGCACACACATAGAAGCATGCGCGCACATGCACACATACACAAATCGAGAGAGACCTGAGTCCTAGGGTTAATCCCCCATCCAACCACCCATCAGCTTTTGCATAAGAAGATGACATCACAGCTCAGTGAGGGATTGGCTGGGTGTGTCTGTGTGTTTGCTGGTGTGTGCATTTGTATATTTATCTTTGTATCAAATGTCGTCACTGTGACAGTCACACAGCAGGGTCATTGTGACAATAAGCTGGAGGACCAGAAGTTACTTCTTTATTGTGGGGGTTAGGACTTTAAAGTTTTTAGGCTTTAAGGTGAAGTGTTAAACCGGGTTGCTTTTACAGGAGACATTTTACTTTAAGGTGATTATACAGGAAACGATTTAAGTGAAAAAATAATCATGATAATAACAATTTAGGTCTTTGCCAAGCTAGAGTAAAAAAAAAGTGTGTGTGTGTGTGTTTGTGTGTGGCCTTTGTGCATGTTGGGATTGGACGGCCTCACTTTGACACGTGGGGCTGGTAGGGTGTGGTGTGGGTGTTGAAAGTCATCTGCTTAATACTCTTATGTAAAACCAAACTGTAATACACTTTCCTCTAGTATCTAGTAGAACCGTTATTAAAAGTGTGGATTTCCCCTCCTTTTTTTATTTGCGTACCACAGCTCTTTAAATATTTGCTTGGTGACTCAGTGGTTTAAGTGAAAGGCTAAAGCTCTTGTTGGTTAAAGGACTGATGACTGCCTGGCTAGTAGGTTATAAGACTGAATGGTTTGACATGTTAATTAATGTGCTAGTTAATGTTAGAAGCTAGTAGCTCACAGAGTAACTGCATGTTTATTTCTAGGATCTACTAGGTTGAGGGTCAATTTTAGCCCAAAAGTGTAGATGACACTTAATTTGAAAGGTAAGATCTTAAAATTTCAACAGCTTAGCATTTGGTTAAAACAAACCCAGCTCTAACCCTATGACAGGTGGATGTGAAGAGGTTAAATGGTGGCTTCTTGCAAATGTGAATACTTTTGCAAGAAGCCAAGAGTTACATAAGTCTAGTTTCTAACTGCTGCACTGAAAAGCATTTGGTTGACTACACTTTAAAAAAAATGTAATATAAAAGTATGTTACTGTGTATTTTACAGTTTTGTACTGTTCTTCTAGAATATCATTAAATATACATAAATAGGTTGTGATTTTACATTTCAAATGTAAATCAACGTAAAATCACTGTAAATGTAATAAAACATAATTTTCTTGTTTTTTAAATGTATCTGTCTGTACATATGCATATTTAGATTTTTAAAATACATTCACAAATATATCATAATTTCACAAATATTTGTCCGTTATTTGAAAGATTGAACTGTTTAATTCAAATGTAATGCTATGGAAAAAATAAAATGATTCTTAACTTTTTTTACATCAAATAATAATTATTATTATTGTTATTTAGGGCAATTGTGGCTCAAGAGTTGGCAGTTCGCCTTGTAATCAGAAAATCCCGGTTCGATCCCCGGTTCGGACACTCGTTGTGTCCTTGGGCAAGACACTTCACCTACCACCTATTGGTGATGGCCAGAGGGGAATTATAAAGTGGAATTGTAAAGCGCTTTGAGGGTCTCAAAAAGCGCTATATGAATGCAATCCATTATTATTATTTAAACCAACTGTTAACTGTATATTTCTGTACATTTAAGTATTATTATTCATATTGCCGCATTCATTGACCTTGTTTATAGGTAATTTCATTGTTTGATCACATTAAAATGTACCTAATTTAATGTTTAAAAGCACTTGAAAAAGGCAAAATCCCATGTAAAATTAGGGCAACAAACTGTATTGTCATTACTGAAAATAACTGTATTTTCATGAGAAAGTTATTTTCTGTTATTTTCTGGCATTATTTTGGTGCCCCAGCTGCCAGAATATTACTGTTTTTTTTAGGATTTTTTTTTTTTTACGGTGTAGTTGATTCTAGAAACCTGGTTTAAAGACACAGTAATGTAGTTACAGTAAAAGGAAAAAAATGGTGAGAAATTCATCCACTGTACATTGAAGCTGTTTCACTGATCTTTACAAACCTGTGTTTACATTTAGGACCAATTACTGAGTTATGTGCTTAACCCGTTAATATCCACCAGGTCGCTAGCAACCTGTTTTTGACTTAGAGTTTAGTGTAGGTTTAGCCACATGCTAAATTATGTGATTTTCAAAAATTAGTAAATGGTCTACTTCAAACTATTAAAACTTGTTTAAAGCATCTCCATTTGGATCATTTTTTGTTTGCTTAGTTGCATATTTCTGCCACTAACACCACCCAGAAAACCCTAAAGCAGGTGTAAGTGATTTGAGTTTTTGAACAAATATAAACAAATCAATTGTACTTGCACAAAAATTGTTCCAAAATATACCCACCCAGCCCCCAACTTAACATATAGAGGGCTGAGGCTGGATGTAGACCATGTGGCTGTGCACATGGGTGTGCAAAAAGTCAGAGCAAACCAAAATAGCACAGTATCTAAATTTCTTGTCAAATGAAGTTGTAAGAATGTCGCATCATCCAACCCTTTGGAGATAAATTAATCAAACCGATTCCTTCTCATATGGCTGATCAGATATAAACAATATATACTCTAAGTATAATAACTATGATACAGTATTTATGTTCATATGTTGTATTTGGTAGTACTAATGATATTACCCAAATCATCGAGCCACCATCTGGTGTCGTGCCTGCTACCACAAAAAGCTAAACATTATCCGAGAATTCCATTTATCTCCAGGACCAAAGGCGGTAAATCATTCATGCAGCTCAAAGCTTCTGTCTGGAAACTGCCCAAATCAGTGGTGGAGATTGCTGATGAGCTTGAGCTCTGGGGTCACATTCAGCCCAGAAGGTTAATTTACTGTTTATATCTTTGACTCTCTCACTAATAACTTTGACAGACCAAATATGACACTCTAAGATGTGCCAGATCTGAGCTCTGGTTTTTGATCTTGCACTTTTCCCTATTGTGTTAAATGAAATATTGAATGCAGTGAACAGGTGTTACCGAGGGTGCAGTGACAGATGGGAATTAGAGGTTCTACTTTCTGAAATTTTCTTTTCTTAAATATATATAGCAGTTGTTCTGTTACATGGTCCTAAAAGTTTGAAGACCACAGTAATACAAAGAAATCTGATCGCCTCAACTGAATGGCTTTAGTCCAACATGTTAGTATGTAGAGTAATAGTGGAGGAAAACATTTCAGTCTTGTTAACAAATAATTTTATAGATGCAGTCCTAACCTGTAACATTGCATCTGTCAAAACCTTTATGTCTAACTGTATGCAGGGATACAGTTTGAGATTTAAGATTAACCTCGTTCGCCATGTCCACCTAGGGTTACGGTTTGGGGTTTCTTTTAGCCACAGGCAAAAGGACACACTTTCAGAGAAGAATACATTTTGGCATTACAGTTTTTCAGTGAAAAGCTTTTCAACTGGGCCTTTCCAGACAAGAAAAAACTTTAACAAATTTGATCTCTAACCATGACTCCAGATGGGACCACCTGGTGGTTGCTAAGCAGTTACATTTAGTAATATTAGCTATTTCTTGACAATGAACATTGATAATGAGTGGCTCCATAATACAGTGGCTTATACATTTGCAGAGCAAGCCAGATATTCCTGGTTTGAGTCTGAGAGGAAACACGTCTCTCGGTTGTGTCAGGAAGGATATCTGGTGTACAGATCTGCGAAAGCAAGTGTGTGGCGCTACATGTTGTGACCCCTTGTGAATACGGGACTAGCTAAAAGTAGCTAATGAACAGTATTCATGACGTTTTGTGTGTCAGATGCTGGATGATGTTTGACTTTAATTACAACACTAATCTGAGGCACTCCCCCCTGAGGATGTGAAAGTGGAGATAAGTGAGGGAGTTTTTCTTTAAAGACCTGACATCTTTAGGGTCACGGCTTCTTCCGTCTCAGATACTTTCCTTAAATAACTCCCTGACTCTAAAAGCAGATAAGGCTTACTCTAGCAACAGTTACGTCTACAGTTTGCAGGGACCTCAGGGCTTGTCAGGAACCTTTGCGACATCAGTGTTGGGACAAAACGCCATATCCTGTGAACCTCTGAAGACCCATCTGGTCACCAATAACCCATTTAGGGTTAGGAATGGGCTTGGTGTTAGCCTTAATGTCTAGCAAATATCTAATGAACAGTTTTTTTTAGTTTGTATCTTAATACTTTTCTTTTAAGGTACTATAAAAACACTACCACTACCCCTCCCATTATGTCTAACCCTGACACTTGATGCATTGACACTGACTTACCGGGTGTTAAGAAGTTAAATGATCTAGAAGGACATTTTCCAGAGAATAATAAATCATTTTAAATGCTGTGCACACAGCTTTGGCAAAACAGGGCAAAACAGTTTCCCTCCAACTCACCAGTTTACCAGCATGGCTGCATTGTTGCTTGACACAAAAGGGAGTTCCCCACAAACACTGTGAAATACAGATCCTTGGGAGAAAAGTAAAATCCACCAGAGGAGCATGGTCTTCCTCTTTCCTTTGCCCCCGGTCCTTTCAGGATCCATGCATCAAGTGCAAAGGTAACCCTTTGCAAGGGATGTGTCTGGATGATTCCAGCAGGTGTAGAAGTGGACTGGGTAGTTGTGAACCAGGTGGCCTGGAGTCATGAAGGCATCAGAGGGCCCGAGCGATTAGGTAGAAGAGAGAACTAAGCATGCTGGGGAACTCCAGATCGAGGCATGGCAGTGACAGTGACGTTGATAAGTGTGCGTAGCGGCCGTTCGTCCTCAACACAGGGCAGCTGCAAAATAGAGAAATTTCCCCTGGTTTTAAGCTGATGTCAGCTGATGAGTTCAGCGCGCTTTCTGAATTGCTTTTTCTGTCCTCCCCAAGCCAGTCAGTTCCATGAAGAGCGTTGGAGGTACCAGAAAAATAAAAAGAAAGAAAGAAAAACAACATAAAAAGAAAAAAAAGAGGTATGCAGATATATCTACACGGCTATCCCCCCTCCATCCCACCAGTGATTAGAAGCAATGAGTGTCCGTCTCCGTGGCTTAGAGCGTGCGCTGAGGTGTGTGTCAACAGCTAGAGATCATCCTTCATGTGTGTTTGACTGTGTCTACGTGTGTTAGAGCCTGGATTGGCAGGGTGGAAAGGGGCGGGGTTTGGAGCTCAGCAATGGATCCCAAGACAGGAAGCCTCAGCACCCCCCCCCCCTCCCCCCCGCTTTTTAACTCCCTCTCTTTGCGCTCACTGATGGCAGGATGCAGATTGTAACCAGGGATTAGGGAGGTTCAAAAATCCGATTGTGCCTGGAGAAAGCCTCATGTATTACTCTGTGTGTGTGTGCGTGTGTGCGTGCGTGCGTGCGTGTGTGTGTGTGTGTTTGTGAGGGAGAGAGAGTGTATGGAATACAGTCATTAGATTTTTCATAGTTTACCAGCGCCTGCAGTCACAAACTGCTGCTGGCAATGGAGATTTTTATTTAAAACCCTCAAATGCAATCTTCTGTTGTTTAACAGAGTATTCTGTCCTCCCACTTCCCACCTCTCAACACACTTTTTACCTCCCACTGTCATGGCCCATTGTTGAACCCAGACATTAACTGCATAATAATCTATTCTCGTGTTCTCACAGTAATTAACACCACTTACGCTAATTTTTCCTTTTAATAACAGACCTGAAGTCAGGTTCATTTTGCTGTTATGTTTAACTGAAATGTTCTCTTTACACATTTTCACCAGTCTCCAACACCTCTGATTATTTCATTAGTCTAATGGTAGAATAGTGGAAAGAAGGGGAGCTTCTCAAATGACACTTTTCATTCCTTTTATCCAGTGACTAAGCACCATTGCAGCCATTTTACTTGTTTTTTTGATCACACAGCTGGTAGTTTGTTCTAAAATAAAGACATGCCCAATGCGGTAGACTAAACATCTTTTGTTCAGTAAGGAGGTCAAGTCGCACATTAATAATTCCTCTATTCTCAAAGTGCATCTTTAAGTAGATATTTCTGTTATTAGGACGCTGTTGTTTGTTGTCCTTATCTAACCTTATATCCTTTTTATTTGCTTCTTTCCCCTTAGGACAGTATACAGTGATGATGGCCCATTTCTTCCTGAAGAGGAAGATTGGATATTTTGTCATCCAGACGTATATGCCATGTTTCATGACTGTAATCCTGTCCCAGGTGTCATTTTGGCTGAACAGAGAGTCAGTTCCTGCCAGAACTGTTTTTGGTGAGTGAAGCTGCTTACCTACTAATCCTTAAAAAAAAAAAAAAGTAAAAAAACTTCTTATTTAACTGGGTAATATTTCCATCATGCGCATTCATACCAGGGAGAATAATAACAGTCGCTCACTGAGCAGCAGCACTGCACAAGCTGACAGTTAGGAGTTATTAAAATGCCCACCTTCACTGAGTGAGGCCAGTCTGTCATTTGTTTCCAGCTGGCTCATAAAAACTAAATTTAAAATCGTCATGTCTAACTTTGTTTGCACCCAGGGGTGACCACTGTGCTGACCATGACCACCCTTAGCATCAGTGCGAGGAACTCGCTCCCCAAAGTGGCCTATGCTACAGCCATGGACTGGTTCATTGCCGTCTGCTATGCTTTTGTCTTTTCTGCCCTCATTGAGTTCGCAACAGTGAACTACTTCACCAAGAGGAGCTGGGCTTGGGATGGCAAGAAGGCTATGGAAGCACAACACCCTAAGGTACAATTTGTGGGTACTTTGATACACATTTAAGAGTTTATCCTCAGATCATCCAGAAATACCAAAAACGCAAACTTGGCTATGACCTGTGGTTATGAAATATTAGCAGTTGGTTGCAGGGCCTACAAGTGTGGCAGTGTATTTGAGACATCAGCTAAGTTATTACAAACCAGATTGCAAAAAAGTTGGGACACTAAACAAATTGTGAATAAAAACTGAATGCAATGATGTGGAGATGGCAAATGTCAATATTTTATTCAGAATAGAACGTAGATGACAGATCAAAAGTTTAATCCGAGAAAATGTATCATTTTAAAGGAAAAATATGTTGATTCAAAATTACATGGTGTCAACAAATCCCAAAAAAGTTGGGACAAGTAGCAATAAGAGGCTGGAAAAAGTAAATTTGAGCATAACGAAGAGCTGGAAGGCCAATTAACACAAATTAGGTTAATTGGCAACATGATTGGGCATAAAAAGAGCTTCTCAGAGTGGCAGTGTCTCTCAGAAGCCAAGATGGGTAGAGGATCACCAATTCCCACAATGTTGCGCAGAAAGATAGTGGAGCAATATCAGAAAGGTGTTACCCACCAAAAAATTGCAAAGACTTTGGAGTTATCATCATCAACTGTGCATAACATCATCCAAAGATTCAGAGAATCTGGAACAATCTCTGTGCGTAAGGGTCAAGGGCGTAAACCCATACTGGATGCCCGTGATCTCCGGGCCCTTAAACGACACTGCACCACAAACAGGAATGCTACTGTAAAGGAAATCACAGAATGGGCTCAGGAATACTTCCAGAAACCATTGTCAGTGAACACAATCCACCGTGCCATCCGCCATTTCCAGCTGAAACTCTACAGTGCAAAGAAGAAGCCATTTCTAAGCAAGATCCACAAGCTCAGGCGTTTTCACTGGGCCAGGGATCATTTAAAATGGAGTGTGGCAAATGGAAGACTGTTCTGTGGTCAGATGAGTCACGATTCGAAGTTCTTTTTGGAAATGTGGGACGCCATGTCATCCGGACCAAAGAGGACAAGGACAACCCAAGTTGTTATCAACGCTCAGTTCAGAAGCCTGCATCTCTGATGGTATGGGGTTGCATGAGTGCGTGTGGCATGGGCAGCTTGCATGTCTGGAAAGGCACCGTCAATGCAGAAAAATATATTCAAGTTCTAGAACAACATATGGTCCCATCCAGACGTCATCTCTTTCAGGGAGACCCTGCATTTTTCAACAAGATAATGCCAGACTACATTCTGCATCAATCACAACATCATGGCTGCGTAGGAGAAGGATCCGGGTACTGAAATGGCCAGTCTGCAGTCCAGATCTTTCACCTATAGAGAACATTTGGCGCATCATAAAGAGGAAGGTGCGACAAAGAAGGCCCAAGACGATTGAACAGTTAGAGGCCTGTATTAGACAAGAATGGGAGAGCATTCCTATTTCTAAACTTGAGAAACTGGTCTCCTCAGTCCCCAGACATCTGTTGAGTGTTGTAAGAAGAAGGGGAGATGCCACACAGTGGTGAAAATGGCCTTGTCCCAACTTTTTTGGGATTTGTTGACACCATGACATTTTGAATCAACATATTTTTCCCTTAAAATGATAAATTTTCTCAGTTTCAACTTTTGTTCTGTGATTTATGTTCTATTCTGAATAAAATATTGACATTTGCCATCTCCACGTCGTTGCATTCAGTTTTTATTCACAATTTGTTTAGTGTCCCAACTTTTTTGGAATCCGGTTTGTATCATATTCCACAAGAAACAAAGGAAGTGTTGCAAATGATTGATTATAACAATATTGTTGTGTTATGTTTTGTTATCTGACTGGTGCAAATGGTTATCTAAACTTATTGTGGAAATGACAGTCTTCACTAGTGGGGATAGTTACAAAGCTTTCTTCGTTATGAATGAGCATACATGTTTTTATTGAATATTTGAAGAACCAGCAAAAAAAACAGAAACTCTTGTAGAGGACATAAAGTCAGAGATAGAAACAACAAGGAGCAGGTGCATCTAGTACAGGTAGAGCTGCTGCAAAAACCCACAGAGCTCAGCAGCCAGCGCAACAAATTCTGGATCCTTGGCTTTTAGTTAGCAGTTAGCATTAGCAGCACATGCTGCGTCCGATGTGAAAGTACCTTTATGCTGTGCACTGTGACTCACAGCCATGATCCCGGGTCAGCCCCGACTTTGTGTTAAACTAATCCTAAAGTATTTCTAACCACTGATATACCAAAACTTTATCCTTTCAACAGCTACTGAAAGTTAGGGGACCTAGCTTCTATCGAATCGTACTTGTACTTGAAACTTGAGTGCAGAGTTTCACACGTATTTTTTGGCTAAGTCCACACACAAATCTTTTTTACACACACACAAATTCTTTTTACACATACAAATCTCTTTTACACACACACACATTCTTTTTACACATACGAATCCTAATTTACAAGTACAAAACTGATTTACAAGTAGAAAATATTTATGACCACAATTTGAGCCCACACAATTTCACTGACAAAAAAACTGAAGCACAGTTATTTATTTGATTATTTGTCAGATCATACCATAAAAAAAAATCCAGAAGAAATTCAGTGACTGTACTCTAGGCCTCTAGGCTTATCTGAGAAACAGTACTACTTACTCGGTGGTACAATAGGGTTTTAAACAGTCTTAAGGTCATTACACACCGAACACACTGCAAAAACACCAAAGTGAAATTCCCAGTTCTTCGGATCCAAAATCGTTGTGTATTGTATAAACAGGCAGATCACATTTCACATGCACTGTGAAAAAAATTAAATCATTATAAAGCAATGATAAGCTGTTCCTGATGTTTCTGAACAAGAAAAGGAAGAAACTGAGATTCTGGGTTCCTCTAATTCTCATCAGGCAACACCAGGAAGAATTTCATGGTTTGATCCAGGAGTTGAAGCTGTATGACGACCACTTTCATACATATCTCGGGATGACAGCGGAGTAGTTTGAGCTGTTGTTGGCAGAGTTGAGACCACATCTGAGGAGGCAAAGAAATAATTACAGAGAGCTGATTGTATGTACTGTACTGGTGTGCCAAACATAATCTGATTGGTCAGATTTCTGCTTTTGGATCAGAAAAAGCAAGCTTGGTTCAAAAAAATAAATGCCGCAATTTTGTCCAGCAAAATCACATCCGGTGTGTCAAGGCCTTCATGCCAAACTAATCATTTTCTGCCTTTAGCTACACCGTTAGCAAACAGATATTAGAGCAGTGTTACATTTACGTGGCACTGAAGCAAGTGAACTTCAGTATAAGCGTTGAAAAAAACAGTTAAGTACATAAATGCACTGTGAGTCATCAGGATATTGAAAGTCACTTCACAGCATGGATTACTATACATTCTGCTTGGTTTAGTAATCCCAGTGATGTCTAGGACAACCGCCAGGCATCTGTTAACAGCTGCACTAAAACATATATACACAGTGCAGTCATCATAAATAAAACTCAAACTGACAGAACACCAGTGGAAATCATGCTGCTAACTGATTGAAATTCAATAACTCAGCAGCCCACATTTTACCAGAATGTTCTGCCAGAAATATTTCACCTCAGTAAGGTCACTAATCACTCCAGACAGAACGAAAAACACAGATTCTTCTCAAGCCAGAAAAAAAAACTGTAACAGTAGAGCAAAATGAGGCTTGTAACTAACGTTCTACTCAACGTGCTCTGTCCTGCCATAGAAACGAGACCCGATGGTTCTGTCCAAGAAGCCCAACAACGTGTGCTCGGCAGGTGTCAACTACACCCCCAACCTCACCAAGGACACGTCCATCTCCACCATCTCCAACACGACGTCGGTACACCTGCGTTCTGCTGAGACCAAGACGATGGACCCCAAGAAGACCTACAACAGTGTCAGCAAGATCGACAAGATGTCGCGGATAGTGTTCCCTGTCCTCTTCGGAACCTTCAACCTCGTCTACTGGGCCACGTACCTCAACAGAGAACCGTTGTCGAAAGGAGTTGTCATCTCAACTTAATCGCTCTTCTTATTGTTCCTTTTTTTCAGGGGCGTGGGGGGGAGGGGTGGGCAGTTTGTGTCAGGGAGAAGGGAAGGTTGAGCCTAATAGAAGAGGGGTGATCCATAATGAAAGCAGCCATTGCTACATCTCTGCCTCCAGACTAAACAAATGTGAAAACAAAGAACAAAAACTATACTCACCTATTTAGATCAAGCACTTTGAATGGATGCAAGGCTTCACGATTCCCTTTCCTATTTTTCATGGCCTAAAAAACTGCATTTTAAGACTACATTAACAGGAGAGAGGGTGCTTTGCTTCTTTCTCATCTGTTCTGCTGCAGTTTGCATGATTCTCACCCCCAAAAAGGGAACATGGACTCCTCTTTGTCTTGAACACCGACCATGTATATGTCAGTCATTGCTTAAACTATGGGAGCACACTTGGTCACTACTACCTGGAGAATTTAACAAAGTAATTTAATGCTTCATGTTCTTACTGCACTGGGCTCATAAACTCTGCAATCTAACTCGCATTTAAATTTTAAAACATGATTTTAAAATGTACCTAATTCCGCGCTATGAGAAAGACACATCTCTCGAGATTGATGCTGCAAGTGCATTAATAATGTCGTTTTATGTCTCCATTTTTAAAAAAAACTAAAAAAATCTTGCCAATTCTTTTCCTCTGCCTAACGCAGAGGGTGCTTGTGTCTCTTGTTGTACATCTTTACTTGAAGATTCAAGAACTGTTGCTGCAGGCCTGGTTTCCCAAAAGCCCTGGCAGTAAGAGTCTCAAAGTAAAATGTGAGAGGAAAAGAAGTTTTGAATTAAAAAGTCATCATTTAGGGCCAGCAAGAATGTTTGAAAAAAGTGGGTTTTTTCTGGCCTACTTACACGAGGGTGACTGGACGGCTGTGACAGATGTGTTAGCACAAATTAAGGATTGGATATATGTGATTTAACAGAATTTTGAGCCTGGGTCACTCAGTTGGGAAACCAATATGCACAGTTGAGAGACCAAATGGAGAGCAAGTCACATACAAATCAGGACAGCGATGTGGACAGTTTTGGGACTGTCGTTCAGAGATGTCCAGACACGCACCCTGCTAATGTGTCCACAGAGAAAACCAGACTCATGTACAGTTCATAACCCTGTTTTGGTTTTTTAAAAAACTGCTGGTGAAATTTACTAAATGAGTACTGTGACAATTTTGTGACTTGTAAGGCACTGACACAGCTGCTATGTATTTGTAAGTGTTCCATTTCCAAATGTGGAGAGGAAAGTATGTAACGTAATCATATGAATGTGGTTTTCTAAGGCTTGCGACAGGTAATTTGCTCCACACTGTGCCGTTATTTAACACCGAAAAGAGCATGCCTTATATTGCACCTGGATGCGATAATTGTCGCAAGGAGCATTAATTTATGTAGAATGCCAAGGGGAGACGTTATCAGAATGAGCATGTAATTGGTTCGGGTATATGGCTGTGACAAATCTTTGGATCTGCCCTGTCAGCTGCTCACGCTGAACAGTTCGAGCCAAGCCCCACATATTTAGTGTATTTTGATATAACAAAGCAGAACATGCCGCAGAGCATCGGGGGCAAGGAGAGAATTACAAGATGTATACAAGCCATGGCTGTATAGCTGGTAGCAAGGTTAGTTTTTTTGCAGTGTGCAGAGCTGTTTGTAGGTTTTTTCATCGTGTTTCATCAAATAGGCAGCGGGTCATAGTGAAAATAGCAGAGAGCTCAAAAAATAAACAAACTCAAAAAATACACATTGAGCTCTGTAACATCACAAATCGACTTCATACATTTTGTCTACTTTTTAAGTTCTGTCCCAAAAGTATTTTAAGAAAAACTGTAATGTTTGTCAAAATGTCACTTTAACTGTGACGAAGGTGTTGGAGGTGTTCCTAAATATCAGGATTGTGCAGGTGGCTGTGAGTCAGATTCTTTCTTTTGACTTTAATAAATACCTGCAGACCCTTATGCAAAACAACACATTGCACGGTCACAGTACCGTCCTGGGTTTGCAAGTCGGTTGGGATTTGACAGTTAATAATGTTTTGTGTTGTGCTACACATCCTGCACACGGGCTGTTAAACAAATATTTTAGGTTTATAAGACAGAGCTGGTTGTAGTAAAGTAATAAAGCAGTCTTGGGCTGCGTCAGCCTTTAAGACGACAGTTTCTGACGCAAGACTAATCATTGACCTTTTTAGTAGATTACCTACAGAACTTTCCACTCCCACTGAGCTATTCTTTTTCACATACAAAAAGTGAATCAATAATTTTCTCACTCATGCCTCTTAATAGCAACACTTGAGAGCTCAGTTCATGCTTTGCACAAAGTCAAAGTATTCTGGGTCATTTAAGCATCTTCTGAGGCTGTTGGAAAATGTTAACTCCAGTCTACAGTGTGTTTGTGAAAGTGAAGTGCTGGGGGAAAAAAAGATGATTATTGTGTCATGTTTCTGGATTCCAGCAAAGCTATACTAGAAAGAAAACCTCACGCATATATCAGCAACAGGAGACAGAAATTCAACAGCTCAGCGGCTAACAGGTGACCAAAGATTGATTGTACCATGAACTGACTCATAACAGTCCACAAAAGTGAGCAACACAGCAGAGCTCTGTCCTCTCAGAATTACTTACTATTGGGTTCAATCGATGGGCTCAAGTTTATCAAAATTGCACCCTGATTTGCATTAATTTACTTCACCTCCGCGAGCTAATCCAATGTCACTGGACTGCATTGTTTTTTTTTCTCAGAATGTTTCTCTGTTTTGAAAGCTTGGTTCGACGAGGCCTTTAAGCTGCAAAGAATTTGGGGAAATAAGGCCGAGTGTCATGAGAGAATCATGTAAATAGCCTTTTTCGTTTTCAACGTAGCTCTTTGCTTTGACACAAAAAGACAGATTGTCACATTTGTGTTCTGAAGCCCTTAGTAGAAAAAAAAAGCCCAATGTTGATGTTAATGATGTTATTGTCTTCAATATCTTTTTTCTTCTGTGTACATGTGTGAGTTTGTTTCGTTCTTGTGGCTTGTAGAAGAGCTGATCAAACGTGATCTTTGGACTGATTTGTATTTTATATCTACAGTGACTTAATTAAAGTGACGAGCACACATTTTGTCATTACAGCTCAAGCCTACCTGTTGCACAGCATGTGTTGGTTTGTGGTGAGACAAACTCAGGAATAAGAGGACCCCATGCTCCCAACAGAAATATCAGTTCTTCATATCTATCATATGGATTTTGAACACCAACCTCTCTCACCTGCTGCTGGGAACATTGTCCTCAAAAACTTTAGGCCGCTAAGCAGATATTTATACACTGGCTTGGTAAAAAACCATGTAAATAAGGGTGACATAAGCTGCTATCTGCTTTGCATTGTGTACTTAAGGTGGACTTAAGTGATTTTATTTTGACTTTGTGTGCCAGGATATGCTGTGGTATTTTCGTGCTGTCTAACTGATGTTGAAGCTGTCATTTATGGAAATCTAAGATCCAGCTTTCTGTCAGATCAGACAATGTTTCAGTTTCAGTGCAATGGCAGCCAAGTACAGGATACAGACGAGACATCTCCCCCCCACCAATCTGTAATCTGTCTGTTCCTCGACTTCCTGTTTGTATCTGACACATTATCAAGTAACAGTACACACTTTCTGTCTGTGTATTTCTGATTAGGTCTGCAGTAGTTGAGTTCTTCAACAAGTGTGTTTTTTAAACTAAACAGTTGTTTTTATTGAGCTTTATTTAAGCCTTGTTTTCTAACATATAACCAAAGGAACTATTACTGTAAAAAGTCACTGATAATGTCCCTGACAAACACATATAGCCTTCATTATTTTTTTTGTGGACAGCAGCTTCAGTCTGACAGAAGTTCACTGTATGGACAAAGGTACTGGGTCTCACCTGTTATTCTTTGAATTCTTGTATTTTCAGTCCCATTGCTTCAGCTGTGTAAAATCTAAAGAATCTAGGCCTGTACTCTTTTGTGCTTTTATTTGGGAAAGAATGGGTCTTTCTAAAGAGATCACTAATTTAAGAGTGCTACTGTAATAGAATGAGACATTGCAGCAAGTCCCTTCATCTAATTTTTTGTACCTTTCAGAAATTCCTCAGTCAGCTGTAAGTGGCATTTTTGCAAAAGTGGAAGTTTTTAGGGACCACAGCAACTCAGACACCAACTGGCAGGCCACGTAAAATTAGAGAGTGAGGTTGCCAAGAGCTGGGGCATATAGTGCATAAGTGTAATCAACACTCTGCTGAAGTGCAGAGTTCCAAACCTCCTCCAACATTACCATCAGCACAAAAAACTGTATAGCAGGAGCTTTGTGCAATAGGTTTCCATGCAGCGCAGCTCCTGTAGGTAGCCCAGTACGTTTGTGCAAATAGTGTATCTCTACAACTATTAGCTTGTCCATAAATTTGGCTAATATGGTAATATTCATGGCAAATTTACAATAACTTTGGTGATCCTCTGACTTTTTCTAGTGCTGTCATCAGATCAAAATTACTGTGGCTGGTGGGTAATATATGGAAAAAATAAAAATAATCCTCCAGTCTATAAACAAAAAATAACATGTAAGTTCAAAAATTTTCAAAAAGAAATTATTTTGACTGTTAACAGGCTAAACAAATACAGCTTACATGATGTTATACCAGATTATAAATATCTGTACCCGCTGCTAAACGCCAGCATATTGGCGTCATCGTTGTTAGCATGTGGATATTAGCATTTAGCTGTATGTAGAATAATAGTAGGCAGACAGATGGATGAACACTTAAATTCAATACATTATAAATCCTCTGATGTTCTCAGTAATTTAATAAATATTTCTGACTGATAACAAGCTAAAATAACATATATGTAAAGTGGCCTTTGTTATACTCAGCATTAATGTGTTATGTTTGATAATATGTGTCATCTTTTTATCAATTTCTACTATTAGTAGCATGCTGGCATTAGCATTTTACTGCATGTAAAACAGTGATAGGAAAATAGCAAACAGTGACCTTCTAAAAAATTAATGAATTGAAGAATGAATTAATAAATCTATGTATAAGCATATTATACCATATTATTAATCATCTGAATAAAACAATGCTAATATCATAATAGGTTTTTAATGCTAGCCAGCTAAATTAATACAACTAACATGATTTATCTGCCTATTAATATTACACTTATTAGCATTAACCTTTTAGCTTGGTCGGTGTTAGCATACTGTGCTTGATAGCTACATATTAGCTACATATAGAACGTTGACAATATTTGGCAAACAGACAAATATAGGATTTTATTTTTTCTGCTGTAGAAAACTCAATCATATTAACTATAGGACATCATATATTTAGTACTACCCACATTGTAATTCTGTCATTTCCAAAAATTCGGCAAAGCTAATATTATGTTAATATGCTAGGGGCTGAAAGAAGACAAGTAAGTCACGTATATCAGCTCATTCATGTGAACTGTCAGGTCAGAGGATCCCCATAGTGCTGAAACCTGGTAGACTTCCTCATGTCTCTGCACATCTTTCTTGGCGTAAACCAATGCACCCATCCATTTAACTCTCTCTTTCTGGCCAAGAAACAACCCCACCCGCCTTCCTTCAGCCACTGTGACAGACTCATCTGCCATACATCTGTTAGAATAAGGGATTTAGTTCTGCTTAAGTTGCTTTCACCCATTCAGGGAAGCCCCTTACAGCAAAGCGCTTCTGTCCATTTAAGCCCTGACTGGCCCAGCCCTCATGACAAACACTTGTTTTTCTCAGTGTGTTGTCTGGACAGCTGTGGCTGATGCATGTTAGGAACAAACTTAGGGTTGATTGTATGTCCTTTATCCCAAGCTAGCTCATGGGCAGTGAAGCTGACTGACGCTTTGAACTCTTGGCTGGGGAATTTATTGCACATCCAGCAGCTGGTTTAAAGGACACTTGCGGAGCTACGATAGCAACAGTTGCCTGTTCAAGTAAGGCTAAAGGTGACCAATAAAATGCATAAAGTTGCTCATGTTTTTTTTTTTTTCAAGAACTTTTTACAAGAATATTTACGAAGAACCCATCAAACAGACTTTTGCTTAATTTTGCAAAAATGCAGCAAAGCCATTGTAGCTGGGCTTAAAAACGTATTTGTGTCACTCATTCTTTGTTTTATGTACTGTATTTGTTTTGTGTATTATACTGATAATGATCAAATAAAAAGGATTAGCAAAGATGCTATATAGTACATTGCAAACACTACTGTAGCTCAAATGTTGCTTTGTTGAATCCTGATTAAAGCTGCACATATAAAAGGAAATCTGACACTGGTATGTCTGAATCCTGTTTGATTGTCTATTGATATTAAATGCTTTGATGAACTACTTAATGCAATTTGGGTCACTTAGAAACATTATTTTTATAAGTAATGCAAATTTGCTTTAATTTGATATAATGTGAAATTCATCAGAAAACTTTTTCTTATCCATTTTTTTTTAAGTTTGATCTGCCTAGTATCTAAGAGGGCATACAGAGGCCCATTGTCACTGTGTTTCAGTGGCATATGATATGCTGTGGTATTGTTTTCATAATGATATGGTAGATGATGACATATGTTTATATTTTCCCAGTTAATGAAGCTGTCAGAGGTTTTAGTTTGACAAATAAACTCTTTATAGCTTAATTAAATGGGACCTGCTAAGCAAAAGTCAGCTTGTACTGCTCTATTAGCGGAGCAGTACACACCTTTGTGTTAACCCCTCAGCTTTTCAGTTTCATGCACTGAATAACCTTCATTTATTAGGGCGCACGTCATTGTTTTCCCATACAGCCTTACACACAGCAAGCCAAATGGATTGCTGTGTGTAATGATGACATATTTCATCTGAGATAAAATCTTTGGGAAATGGTTTTCCTAATGATCAGTCGGTCTTTTGCAACAGACAGTTATCAGCCTAGGCAATAGCTTTTATCACTTGTTATCAGTCCTGCACATATCAACAACAGGTGGTGTCATCCACCTACAAGGTGGAGACTGTTTTGCCCGTCTAAATTTAACTAATAATGAGGAACTGTCAAGCAAATTTGCCTTTTGGACAAAACTTACATCATTTAAAAAAAACAACCTTTTTATGTTTACACCAGAAAAAAGATTGTGCTCTGTATAAACTGATCAAGTACATTTCATTTGACCAGATTCCACTGAATTTTATATTCTTATGATATTTCAAAATTACATCGAAAATATACATGTACATGTAGTTAAATAAGTCAGCATATTGGGCATAAAATATTTTGAGTGTTGGAACTAAAAGTCCTTTTGGTATGTGTACAAACAAAAAGATCCTGGTTTGGGATAAAATGCACACTTTTCAAATATACATCACACATTGCAAAGTTACATTTGAAAGCATGCCTTGCAATATTAGCAAACACATTACATGACCTTTGTCACACATAGATGTCGACAAATCTGCTCATCACTGATTATAATGGATAACTGTTTTGTGAGCCTGCTAGAACGTAGAGGAGTGAGCCTACTGACAAAATGCACTCACCACACACTTTACTACTTAAGGAATGATTCAGTTCCTTATAAATGGTCATTTACACTGAATCAATTTAATATTTGATGAACAAAACCTAGGACTTTCACTGTACACATCATACTTTTATCCACAAAGATAATCACAAGCTGCTAATTCTTCTGAATATCTAAACGATTGCAAAGCTATGACAAGAACATCATGTAATTTCATCACTCATAAAAGGAGAAACCATGTCAGTCCATTCACTTTTCAAATTAAGATTGGGCAAACAGTCTTATCACACAAAGTAACAAAGAGGACAGAACTTGCACATTTATTTTTTTATTCTTAAAGTGTGTTTTGCTGACAATACTGTTACTTCTGTGAGTTGGTAAAATAACTATGGCAACACGATTTTCAATTAATTATGTCATCATTATCAATCAATTATTCCTGCAGGTCTCCTAATACTGTCACTAGTATGGATAGGCAAAAATAACTACATGTACATGCTTCTTAATTCATTTCATGAGAATTATTAATGAATCACTCCTGCTGGTCCACGCTTGGTCAGCAGGTTATTTCTTTTCGGCTGCAACACTGCGGGAAAGACTTTCTCTTTCTCGCCGCCAGGGGGCAGCGAAGCCTCTCGAGTGGCACTCACTAGTTCAGAAAGGAAAAAAGTCTGGCAGGTTTGTAAGCTGAACGCAGGGCTGCCCTGCTGAGCTGTGGGCCTATTCAGAAAAAAAATACTGTGAGGAGGAGAGCTCGCGGTGACTCTGTGGCACGTAAACGGACGTGTAAAGTCTGAACATGACTTCCAAGGGCGATCATCATCACCAGGCAAACTGCAGATATCAGTTCGCACTGAGTCAAACTACATATTATGCTGTTTACTTATGAATTGATGCTTATTTCTGAGACTTTTTCTTTGAATGAAAGGAAGTAACGGAGTTTTGAGAAGTTCCGGTTCTTCTTTTAAGACTAATTAACTAAAACAAGATAATATTGATAATAAAAACATCTGATGGTAATAATGATAATAATAATCACCATCATCATCATCATCATGCCAGAGTCAGAGCAACAAAAGAGGGAGGTGTTTCCGTGTGCAGTTGTGATCCAGGTAGTGTATGAGTCACGCAAGATGCTCATCTCCTAAGGTTCACCACCTCCACTAGCAGCAGAAAGCGCCCCCCTGCCACTCTGGTGCCCACACAGGGAGAAGGTGGAGGGAGGCACCGTCGCTGGATCCCGTCAACTAGACTCCCAGCACCCCCCCCCCCCCCCCGCCCCCCACATACACACACACCCCATCCGCCCCTTACCCCCGCCTCCCTACCCCTCCCACACACACACGCACACACCATCCTCCTCTTGTTTCGGCTACCACCGCATGTGTTGGGCTGGATCTCACTGATTTATCGTCGGGCGCCTTTCCCGGAGGAAACCCTCCCCACGAAGGAGCGAAGAGGACCAGGAGGAAGTGTGGTGGAGGGAGGTGGGGGGCGGGAGAGAGCTCGCGATCCGCTGCTGTGGTAGTGCTGGTGCTGTTGTTGTTGGTGGTGGTGTTGGAGGTGGTGGTGGCTGTTCGGTGCACATGACGCGCAGGAGAAAAAAGTGCGTGGGCGGATGAGGAAGTTGAGAGCTGGGATTGATGGTTCCACACCTTTTCACTGCGCTGGCACTTGATCGCGGCAGCAACGCAGCAGCAGCAGCGGCAGCAGCAGCAGCAGTCCACCGGTTCCTGCGATCAGAGGTGATCCGCGCGTGGGAAAATGACAATCAAGTTTGTGGTCACCCTCCTCACACTTTTGTTCGCTGGAGGTGCTCGGTGAGTGTCATTTGCACCTTTTCTCTCTCTCTCTCCCTCTCTACGATCAACAGCTGAGAGCAGCGTTAAAGCTTCAAAAGTTCGACTGCTGTGAATGAAATCCCATACATGTGTGAAAGAGACTGTGTGGTAATGCATGGTTCTTTTTTCTTCTCTTTTTTTCCTAAGGGTTTCCCTCACACACACGCACTCCAACAGAAAGAAAGGGGGGGGGGGGAGATAAATGACAGCACCATTTACTGCTGCGCCCAAATCCACAGTCTGGGGGTCTCACTGTCATTTACAGCAGGCTCCAAGTCACCATGAATCAAACATGTTCTTTTTTTTCTCTCTTTTTTCTCTGCGTCAAAGTTTTCATGACAATGTGTTTCTTTAAACATGATTAAGACCTCTCGTTCCCCTCCTCTCCTTTTCTCCTCGCCCCCTCCTCCATCCCTTCTCTTTCTCACACACACAAACAGCTCTGATTTACGGGAATATGGCGACGACGATGAGGATCATCAGGACACCACTGTCAATCAAATGCTGGTGCCCAGGTCGCACCAGGAGGACGCAACGCTCATTCTGAACAATTTGCTCAAGGAGTACGACAAGACTCTACGCCCAGACATCGGAGGTAAGGATCAGAAGTGGTGGAGAGGAGTTGGAGGCTTTTTTGGTTGGAGGAGAAACTTTGGTGATGCTGTCCAGGGACTGGCTCTGTGCCTGAGCTGTCCATGGTGCTGAAACTAGTAGTGCTGCTGTGAGGGTGGGGAGATGACATCCCCTTCCCCTCTCTTTCAATCATTTTAAAATTAGGTTTCTTCAGTTACGCTGGGACAGATTTGGTGGATTTGGGTTTGCTGAGATCTCTGCAAGAATTAGGGATAAAGTGCTTTTTAAGTGTTGAGAACTTTATTTATCTAGTGGGAGATAAAAACTACAGGGGCATCTGAATTTTTCAGTATTTACATCATTTACATGACTAATGGTTATTTGTGTTTCTATCAATAAATTAACAGTAAATGGAGAGGAAATAAAATGTGTCCACTTCTTGGGTTTCTGGCAAATTATCTGCAAAGCTAATTCACTTAAATGCAGTTTAATTCAAAATGCAAATAGGACCATGTTCTTATGTTGGCTCTACATAAGCCAAATTTACAAAGACGTACAGTGCTGTGCAAAATTATTAAGCCACCCGTCATTTCTCTATATTTTGTTAAGAGCATGGGAAATAGCTGCAGAGAAATGTGGGCAAACATGCATGGAAACACAACATAAAAGGCAAAAAGAGTTTGTTTAAGAATAATGGCAGTCAAACTAAATATTGACTTTTAATCTTGTTAGAATCATACAGGCTGAACTCTCTTCAGCAGTAGTTCTCCAGGCTTCTCGAAGGACATTCAAAGCTCTTCTTTGGATGTTTTGCCTTTTGTTTCCCTCTCTATCAGTACTGTTGAGGCCTGGGCTTTGGGGAGGCCAATCCATGATCACTATTGTTCCATTGTGTTTTTACTATTCAGGTATGCTTTTATTGCATTGTCAATGTGTTTGGGATCATTGTCATGGTGAAATATTTCCACCCAGATACTTTCCAGATCATATTTCTTGGTATATCAAAATCTTACGGTGCTTTTCATGTTTGTAATTCCATCAGTTTTGACAAGGCAACATCCCTGGCTCTCAAGTCCTGTGTCAGATCTTTGCTGAATGTTTTTCTAGCTTTTTTTAAGAATGTGACTTTCAGCTACTGTTCAAATGTATGCTGTAGATAGGTTTTTAAGCCTACTTGTCCAGCTTCCTCAATTTTTTAAGGAAACATTGCACACCAAGCCCAGATATGCCAGTTTTTCAGTCAAGTGTCTTTTTGGAGGGTTTGGGGTTTTTTTTGTTTGTAGATGCGAGTAAAGCAATGGAAACAAATTGTGTGTTTTTGCGACAGGCTGCAAGTAAGAAATTGGTCCTTTGCTAAGTTGTCTGCTATGTGTAGACATAACACTGGCTCATCCGTTGATCTTTTGAGTTTGGTGCCTTTTTTATGCTTAACAAACAAAAAAAATCTTGCTTAACACCAGCATGTTGGCATTAGCATTGTTAGCATAGTAGCAGTGACAGTAGCATTTAGCAAAACGTAGCACACCGGTTGGCTTTAACCACTTCAGTTTGAATCAAAAGGTCATTAAATAAATCAAAAAACTAAGAATGTAAATACGAGCACACCGTGCTAGCTTATCTGGCTGTCACTCCCAAACCACAAAGACATTTATCGCTTTCACACATGTAATAGAATGAGTTACCCACAGCTGGCAGGCCATGCCCAGTTTGTGCTGTGTGTGTGTGAGAGAGCGAGGGTGATGACAGGAACACGAGTCCAAATCCTCCCTTGATTGCACCCATGTTCTCGCTGCTGTGGTGCAATCAAAGCCCTGAGCTCCTTGGAGGAGAACATTCCTCTTCAGTGAGGTCTCTAATCAAATGGTTACCGGTTTGTTCCCCGGAGTCCTCTCATTGGTGGGCTGCTGGCTGGAAGGCTTTTCTGTGATGAACGTGCAATCCCGGCTTCTGTTGCTGCAGCATTTTAGAAGTCATTTGGAGAAATCAAGGCAGCCTGTCTTTATGGACATGTGGTAGAGGAGTCAGAGGTGTGGTGGTTTCCAGTGAGGCGATTTTCACCGGGGTTTAGCACAGTGGCTCAATGTCATTAGACTGACTGCCTTTACTATATTAGCGGCACTATTCTGAATGTGAAGGCAGACATTACTCCAACTGTTTCTGCTGTGACCTTATTTTTATTTCTCTCATATTCCAATTTACGCTCGACACTTGGTAACATTCTCCTTGTGTTTCTTTTCCCTTGATTCAGAGTTTGCATTTACAATCAGCAATACAATCTGATATGTGTAGGCCATTTGGGAGCTGCTCTACTCTAATTTTGTTTTGCTTCCCGCAGCTCACTGTGATATTTTCCACTTCCACTTCACTTAAATGTTGAAATAAAATGCAAGCATTTTTGACAAGCTTCCTATACAGAGGTAATTTTTGTCTGAAATATTCTGTATTTTTCTATTAGTTCGGCCTACATTAGGATGAAAGACATTTTGTACCAACAGCCATTCAAAAAGTTTTCAGAAGCTGCATACAAAGTCCTGCTTAAGCAGAACTCAAGGACATATCCACAGTCAACACGGGAGGGGGTGTGTGCAAATGCAGGTCTCGCTGGGATGAGACCTAAGAATGGATTACTTATTGAAATGGTAGTGATTTCAAAGTGAACAAATAGTCAGTGTGTCTCTGTTGAGCTACATTTATTGGTACACTTGTGCTGTACGACAACTGAAGTCCAACTTGTGAAGTATCCGGAAAGATGTTTGCACCATTTGACTGCAACTCGACAGCTACTGGCAGTTATTTTTGCATAAATTTCATGCGTAAACTGTGCAATAAAATATAGATCTAGCCATGCAATAAAAAAACAAAGACAATGTTAAAATCAAATAAACCCTGCTTTATGTCCAATGTCCAGCAGAGGGCGACTCCTTAGACTTCTATACAATTTGAATTATTTTGCAGCCAAAGAGAAAGTTTGGCTTCATTTATGACTTCAGTGAACACATTACTGTTGGGTATGTGGTCTTAACTATTATTTTCAACACTGATTAAGTAAATCACATAAACACTGTAAATAAAAAGGAGAGTAATGCAGGGTACACTTTGGAGCAATAATTCCCAAATTCCCAAAAACCAGAAAACCCCAGGGAGCCAACCCCTAAATCTTCACTCTAATCAAAATGTAAGAGACAGTGATGCATTTCCATGAAAATCTGCAATTTTTTGTTATCACAGAAGCACCTTTCAAAAGATGAACCAGATTATATGAATTTCATATATTCGGCTTCTTTCACCTATTCCAGTTCCTCTAAACTTTGTCTTTCTGCTATTTTTTCCCTGCTCAAAAAACTCTTAATCCTCTAAATGTCATCTTCCCCACTCTGAACACTTTATCACCTTAGGAGCTCTTTTAAGGGCTAAGATACTTGGTGAATCACTTACCTATGCCAGGATTTGGTCCTGACTTTAAGAGTGAATTCTTAGTAAACATCATAATTCTGAGAATTTTTTTAAAACTTCATCTTATTAAGCCTCAGTCAGATGCTACACTCTTCACCCTCAGGTTTATACTAAAAAGCCTTGCTCATGAATTTTCAGGCTCTGGTGGGAAACACTGTATCTTCCAATCATTAATAATGTTTATTTGTCTTTCTCGGAATGCTTGAAATGATTCCCAGATATCATCAACAATTATTTTCCTCCCTCTCTCGCGCGTTCACCAGCAGCTTGCTCGAATCGGTTCAGCCTGGTAGTTCACCTTGCGGGAAGAGGGGGTGGGCATGTGGGGGATCACCCTACAGCTCTGCTTCCATAATTAGGGATGAAATTTTGATGAGATCCAGTTGACAAACCTCAGTGTTGTCCATGAAATGTTAATTTCTTAGCAGGATTATGTGAAGCAGTGGAAGCACGTGTGCATGTGTGTGTTTGTGTGTGCGTGTGTGTGTGTGTGTGTGCGTGTGTGTGTGTGTGTGTGCGTGTGTGTGTGTGTGCATGGGAAAACGTGCACAGACAACACACTTACAAACATACTTGGAGATGACGCTGAGTCAAAGACAGATCTGGGACATTTAAGTCATTGTAAAAGAGAGTGGGTTCTGTTGAGATCCGCTGCAATGAATCTCTGAGAAAACACACACACACACAGCAAAGAAAGTAAATTCACACGGATAGAAGCCACTGAAGTCAGCACTGTGAGGCTCATTTCTAAGACACACCTTGATTTTGACTAAATCAAAGTCATCCTCACACACACACACACACACACACACACACACATATATAAAAACACTGTATTTCTGTTTGCCTCTTCTCGTCTGTAGTTGTGCTTGTTTATAAGCCGCTGGCTATGGAACCAGAGCACATACTGTTGTTTTAAGAAAATGTGAAATTTTACTATTAATTGGCTGCTAATTTCTAAGTTGAACATTTGTGTCTCGAAGCAAGGTTCACTTCTTCAGCACAGAAAATCTGCATAATACTAAATTCTTCGACAGTGAAGACAACAATTTTCCTCGCCTGAAAAAAAATCTGCTACTATTAGCTAACTAACATTGGCATTATCAGCACTGACAGAGAGAAGTGCAAAGAAATTCACCACCTGGTTACTTTGTACAGCAATATGCAAATTGAAGCACAGCACAAAGTTATTAATAACGTTATTCTGTTTATTTTTTTCGTTGACAGAAAACAGCTTTTTAAATTGATACACTATGGGTACAGTAAAGACCATACAAAGGCACGTAGAACAATATTTTATTATTATATGGTATGACAAAAAATAGTCAAATACAATTAAACATAAAAATGTAACAATACTTTTGCCCTAATTAGATCTTAAGTTTTATTATGTTGAATTAAATAAATACAAATAGCCTCAAAATTCACATCAGAAAGGAGTTTGTGTGTGTGTGTGTTTGTATGTCTGTGTGTAGTTGAGTGTGTATTTATATCTTTGTGGGGACCAGACATTTAAAATTTACTATACATAAGGACCAACAGCCCTTATGGGGACCAAAATCCTGGTCC